TATATATATATATATATATATATATATATATACGATAAACACCTTTATGTATTTTGCGAGTCTGTCTCTATACATGCAGACGAATGTGCATCCAAGAATGTGAACGATCGCATACATATGCACATGTCTTCCCTACCTATCTTTATCTCTCCTTCTTCCTTCCTTTCGCCTCTTCCTTCCTTCGTCCATCTTTCTCTCTTTCTTGTTCCTCCGTATCACAAAGACATCGTTTCGCTAACGTCACAAAACATCATGGCAGGAGATTTGAATTTATTATAAGGCTATAAACAAGGATGAGAGAGGACATGCATAGGCGAACAGAGGGAGAAGGAGAAAGAGGGGAAAAGGGGAAAAGGACGATAAGAGAGAGGGAGGGAGAGAGAGAGAGAGAGAGAGAGAGAGAGAGAGAGAGAGAGAGAGAGAGAGAGAGAGAGAGAGAGAGAGAGAGAGAGAGAGAGAGAGAGAAGAGAGAAAGAGAGAAAGAGAGAAAGAGAGAGAGAGAGAGAGAGAGAGGGAGAAAGGGGGGGCTAGCTAGCTAGCTAGCTAGCTAGATAGATAGATAGATAGATAGATAGAGAGAGAGAGAGAGAGAGAGAGAGAGAGAGAGAGAGAGAGAGAGAGAGAGAGAGAGAGAGAGAAGAGAGAGAGAGAGAGAGAGAGAGAGAGAGAGAGAGAGAGAGAGAGAGAGAGAGAGAGAGAGAGGAGAAAATCGAAAAGAAATGAAAAGGTTGCAGAGGTTCAGAGTCTGTTTTACGAGCGACAGCTATGACGTCACGGGGTCAAAGGTGGGGAAGGAAGGAAGGAAAGAAGGAAGGAAGGAAGGATGGAAGAAAAGAGGAGGAAGAGGAGGGGGAGGAGGAAGAGGAGGAGGAGGAGGAGGAAGACGGGGAACAGTGAGAGAGAGAGAGAGAGGGTGCGTAGAAAGAGGAGGAGGAGAAAGTCGATGATGATGATGAGGAGGAAGATGAGGAGAAGGAGGAGAAGAAGGAAGAAGAGGAGGAGAAGCAGGAGGAGGAAGAGAAGGAAGATACGGAGAAGGAGAGGGAGGAGGAATATTTGGGAATAGTTGAGGAGATGGGAATGGGGAAGAAAAAGATAAGGAAATGGGAAGAAAAATGAGGAAGATGAGGAGGAGGAAAAACAGGAAGAGGAAAAGGATGAAGGTTAGAAACAAAGGTTTAGGAGTCAGAGGATAGAAAGAGAAAGAGGGAGTGAGTGGAGGAAAACAACAAAAGAAAACTGGAGAAAAAAAGAGACGAAGAAAAGAAAGGAAAAAAAAAACAAAAACAGAAAGAGAGAAAGACAGGGCAAGAAAGAAAGAAAAAAAAAACAAGAAGAATAATTTTAAAAATCAAAACAAAACAAACGAACAAAGAACAAGGAACGAACACAGAAATAGGACTCTTCTTCTTGTTATCATTAATATTCTGCTTTATCAAATCTATTCTTTTCTTCTTGCTTACGTCATCTTGCATGGTGGGACCACTCTTGGTCTATTTCTCTATTCTTGGGAGAATGTTTCCCCGTCCCCTTTCAACCCCTTGCGCCTTTCCCCTCGTAAAGCGTGTATAATGAATTGAGGGACGGGGGAGAAAGAGAGAGAGAGAGAGAGAGAGAGAGAGAGAGAGAGAGAGAGAGAGAGAGAGAGAGAGAGAGAGAGAGAGAGAGAGAGAGAGAGAGAGAGAGAGAGAGAGCGGTGGGGGGGGGAAGAAAGATGGAGGGAGAGGGGGAGAGGAGAGAGAGGGAGAGAGAGAGAGAGAGAGAGAGAGAGAGAGAGAGAGAGAGAGAGAGAGAGAGAGAGAGAGAGAGAGAGAGAGAGAGAGAGAGAGAGAGAGAGAGAGAGAGAGAGAGAGAGAAAGAGAGCGGTGGAGGAGGGAGAAAGATGGAGGGAGAGGGAGAGAGGGGGAGAGATAGAGAGCGAGAGAGAGAGAGAGAGCGAGAGAGAGAGAGAGAGAGAGAGAGAGAGAGAGAGAGAGAGAGAGAGAGAGAGAGAGAGAGAGAGAGAGAGAGAGAGAGAGAAAGAGACAGAGAGAGGGGGGGTGCAGGGGGATAGATCGATAGATCGATCGATCGATCGATAAATAGATAGATAGAGAGACAGACAGACGGTCAGACACGCAGAGAAAGACAGAGAATAAAACACAAACATGCATACGTACATGCAGACACCCCCCCCCCAAAAAAAAAGAAAGAAAAATCAACCCCACTATACCACAAAGAAAAAAAAACACAAGAAAGCTGCAAACCAGAATAGAAGCAACAGAAGAAGAAGAAGAAGAAGAAGAAGAAGAAGAAAAATTCCTCCCCTTCCCCCCCAAAAAAAAAAGAAAGAAAGGAGGGGGGGGGGCGGCACAGAAAAGCATCCCGGGGCCGTGATTGGTCGAGACACATTTCGGCATTAGTAAACACAGAAAAGATCCTGATCGCCTGTGATTGGCTGCCTTTGTTGACTCGGGCGGCCGCGAGCAAGACAAGTCACGGTGATTGGTTGGGGCAATCT